AAGCTTTCACAGCTCTGCTATGCAGCCGTTCAGCGTACAGCTGTGATCTACAGAAGTCGTTTAAACATTCACCGGGTTCCATCGAAGTCGGTGTTGGTTCAACGTTTGATACGGACGTTTTGATAAAAAATAAAATAAAATAAAAACTTCAAGCAAATGGAAAAGTGACAGAGAAAGTTGAAGATAAAGGGAGCTGAAATAAGAAAAGTTATAAGTGAAGTGATGTTTACAGAGAAAGGTGGTGCATGGAGGGGAGATGGAACGGCTGTGTGGAGGGAAATGTCCAAAATGTCCTTGATGGTCTGCACACACACACACACACACACACACACACACACGCACACAGGGTCAGTACTCAACAGTTATTATGATTGTGAAATCCCAGCTGTGGCCGATGAAGCAGGGGAGGTAAGACAGGCTGCTTTGGGGTATAAGGTCTAAAGAAAGCATCCGCGTGAGGAGGCGAAGCGGCGCCGCTGACGTGTCAGCAGGAAACACACAGCATTCGATGGCGCCCACGCAGGAGGCAGTTCGCCCGCTGGGGGGGTCGAGCCCAAAACGCGTCGTCACGGCATGTTTCTATCGGCCGGACGCTGCACCTCGGCCTTTTTGTGGTGACTTGAGTTGCAGATCATGACATGAATAAGAATAACAAACGTAATCAGTTTAACCAAATTATAACCCACGCATTGGTGCCTTAGAAATAAACGATACAACGAGACATTGGCAGCATTTCATTCATGTTTTAAGATTCAGAATTGACCAATATTACCTTTATACTGCTCTTATATTGCTTATAAATCAGTATTTTAATGTATGTTGATCTATGTAGTGGTCAAAATAATACCAATATTACCTTTCATCGAGTTCTACGTATGTTTCCCACCAAAGGCTGTGTGGACTTAATACATCGTATTATTCAAATCCATTATGCGAACAGAATATGCGGTGCGGCAGAATTTTATTACATTTACCAATTGAATGTAGTTTAATTTCCTGTGGAAAAAAAAACCTCATCTGCATGAACTTACAAAAGTGCTATTTTCATGAGAGGCAGACACGCAGCGTGGTGTGCACATCGGGAATGTTGACAGGACAGCAAACCTTGTGAATGGTGAAGTTTTATTCTAGTCGCTCTACAGAGAGAGAGAGAGAGAGAGAGAGAGAGAGGGAGGGAGAGAGAGAGGGAGGGAGAGAGAGAGAGAGAGAAACAGTGCCACTGTACAGAAGAGCTCCTGTGAAATTCACACCAAAAATATTGTTTTTACTCTTTATCATTTATAATTCTCCATGATGATGTATTCCAGTATGAATTTACAAGCGATGTATACAGGTGTCATTTCTAAATATATTCAAAATAGTTCCTTAAAAGTCTTTGAGGAAGTATTAGTTTTAAAAAAAAAAGCTCTATTCTTACAGCAAACCATAAAGAAAAGAGGTCTCGTATCTTTGGAGCAGACTCAGAGGAGAGGCTGGCTTTTTTTTCTTCTGTCTTCTCTACAGTTGAAGTCCCGACCACACGTGAAGGAGAGCGAAGCGAGACGCAGAGAGCTGGTGACACAGTAATTCTCACCTGCCATTGGAGGAAGAGCAAGGACGTCCCGCCGTACCGAACCCCAAGCCCTGACCCCCTGACCCCTGACCCCCTTGGGCGACTGGTGGCCTGATAATGACCCGTCAGCCAATGGGGAAGTTGCACTGAGGTTCAGGTCCTCGCCTTCTCCCCCCCCAAAACAGCAGCAGCGTCTTCATCGTTTTTTTTTTTTTCCTCTCTCAAATATGTATATACTCACACCTGGTTACAACGCGTTAGTGATCATAACATCATAACGAAAATAAATAAAAATAAATAAACATAAAACATTAAAATCGTTACATCTGGGGTTGCATGCCATCACCTCATTATTTATCATTAAATGTAATTAAAATACATTTTGTCATTAAAAAGAGCAGGGTTGTCATCACAAGGGTGTGTGTGTGTGTGTGTGTGTGTTTGGGTGTGTGTTTGAACATAAGACAGCATCAGTTTATATGAAAGTTCTGTAAAAGTAGAACAGATAGAACAAATCATCATGAGTTCATAAAATGCGAGGGTGCTGTTTGATATTTTTTACATGTGCATATTGTTCACTCGTCAGCTCACTCAAGCAGCATGTGGAGATACATATGATAATAATAATAATAAGTATGCAGTTAAGATGCAAAGAAAGACAAATGTTGCTCGTCGGTCAACAAGGTAGCGAGGACAGGTTCACCGCAGTATTCCAAGAGTACAAAAGGGCGATATGACTGCAGTTGTTACAGATGGAGCTTGAATTGAAACACCGGCTGAAGCCCGTGGGCCGCCTTTAAAAACCACGGGGAGCAAAGAGAGAGCCTCTTCTTCCAGTATCCATCAGGAGGGTAAAAGGGTGCATGCGACACCCTCCCCCCCCCCCCCCTCCCTCGCTGAGCACAACGATATAAGCCCCCCCCGCCCGCCGCCGCCACCCCTCCTTCTCCGGCTCCTCTTCTCTCTTTACTTGGGTTGCATGACTTTGGGCCTCAAAGAGCCGAACTGGAAGACCTAGGACTGGTAAACATCAAAAGGAGAAAAGTTTGATTTCGCGGCCGCTATAAATCACGTTGTTTTTCTTTTTTTTCTTTATAAAGGTTTTTTTTCTACGAAAAAATCTGCACCGCCTCCCGTTCTGTTCGCCACGTCTGAAGCTCCCTCAAAACGTACAGAATCATCCTGAGGTATTTTATTTGATACAATTTGGCTTTGTGAATCCAATCAATCAAGCAAATCAATCATTTAGTTAAGATGGTGACATGATTTTTCCTTTGGCTGTACAGTCTGTACAGCATAATGCTACCAAAAAGAGTGTTTTTGTGGGCACGCGTGTACATGGAAAAATGTGCATGTGCAAGTCTTTTCTGCTTGTGTGTTATCAAAAAGAACAAACAACCAAATGCATAAACAATCAGTTTAGGTCTTGGTTAAGACTTCGAGCTTCCCCGAGTTCTGACCATTCCCTCGCACAACTTCCTCCTCCCCACCAAGACGGACGCGTGATCGAGCCTCCTTGGCTCCGCCTCTCCCCGTCACCGCCCCGCCCACCAAGTCCCACATCGCACCCGACAACCCCGTGAAGGTAAACAGGGGATCCGCCTGAAACAGTCCTCAGATCCTGAAGCGTCCCGGTTGACTGTGGACCAACAGTTGTATAACCACTGGCTAACTGGTCTGTACTGGTTAGCGCGCCGCGCTACTGCTGCTGTACCTGCCAACCAAAGTTCGTTTTTTACCAAAGAAAGGAATCAAATGAAATACTTTTAGCTATCCAACACTCTAGTGATGCGTCATGAACAAGTAGGAAGGAAGAAAGAAGGAAAGGAATCAACAGTGTTTCTTTTTTTTTATAGCTAATACCCTGTTTCTCAGTGGCAGGGATGTAAAAAAAAACTCACATCAGCAGCGACCCCCCTACCGGACTCAAGGTGGTGGCGGAACCAGTCCCGATTTCATCCTTTTACCACCTTGTTAATATCCTCCACCATTTCCTTGCTCCTCCTCCTCCTCCTCCTCCTCCTCCGCAGGATGATGCTGATTTACACTGATTTACTGAGCGCGAAGGTCAACGGTAAAGGTTTCGATTGTACAAGTATTCGCTCACCGCATCGGGCAAGACGCGGTTTTCAAAAACATGTAAAATATGTGTCTTAGTGTATTAGTGTGTATTTTGTCTTCTCCGACACAAAAAAAAACAAATCAACACATGCAAAATAATCTACTACTCTTGATGGTATTTTTCAGAAAGCTTTTTAAAAAGCAATTGTGGGAGAGAGGTTTTGAAATTAATGGCTATTGTGCTACCAAATAAGCAAACTCTAAAATCCTACATAGTGGGACCCGGATGCCAGAATCCCGTCTAAATCTTATAGTTTAATAGAATAAAAAAGCAATATTTCGCAATTATTTTTCTATGTGCGGAGCCATAAATGAAATGCCCGTTAATCGCCTCAGGTTTCCCTGCTCGCGGGTCCTTTTCTATCAGTCATTTTGTCAGTTTGTCTTTTTTTTTTTAATCTGTCAGTCTGTAAACATTATTCATTGATAGCACCTACATAACTCTCAGCTTCGCGTCGCCCTCAGCCAGGCCTCAACACATTAACCCCAAATCGTCACCACGCACACCGCTAACTTTCCCCAGGAACCAGCGAGGGCCCTGTGCCGTTTGGCCCGCCTGCCCACCCTCGCGCCGCCAGGTGTCCCGGTGGCCATATTTGTCAGGAGTAACAGGCAGCAGACCGCGGCGGCGCCGGCTCACTGCGACGCCTCTGCCCTCCTGGGACGCCGCCGCCGCCGCGTCTGGCCCGCGACATCAAACGTGCCCGACTGGTCTGATCTGTCAGGCCGCTTCTCCTCAACCCGGCGAGCTGCGAGCTTGACAGCGGAGGTTGGAGAGGAGAAAAAAAAAAAAGAGGGAGGGGGAGGGAGGAGGGGCTGAAAGAGAGGTTTTCTCTGCTCTCTCTCCCTCTGATTCTCCTCTCATATCGTACGTCTCCCATCTGCCTCGCCGAGACATTTCAATCACGGATCCGCTGGCTCGTTCCCAACAACAGCGCCTATAGGAGTCCTCCCGTGCTGTAGCTTAGGCCGTCTCCGTCCCTCTAATGTGACTCTGCCATTCCCTAAACCATTTAAAACCTATGGGGTTAATGATCCCCCTTCCCCTCAGGGCAGAATACCTTGTGGCAGCTCGCCGGTCCATGCAACCAACTCATTGGCACACGACGGAGGATGGACAGAAACGGCGATATCATCTGCAAAGAGAGTAGTAGTAGTAGTACTGTCGTACCCGAGTGGGCACAAGTTCTTTTGGATTACAACGTTAAAGAGAAGAAGAAAAACGTAGTGTGGCTATGGCCTCCCGTGGTGGATAACATAGTAGATAAATTATAATACAAACCCAGAGAGCAATAAGGAGGAGAGAACACATTATTTCTTATGTCAACTAAACATCTGACTCCAGACTGGGGATTTTTTTATACACCCGTCTGTTGCTGAACTGGGCGGAGTTTAGGACGCCACGGGGGGCCGGGTATGCACTAGTCTTATTGGCTGAGTAAGGCATCACATGCTCTGTATTGTACATGTCATTGGCTATCCGACCGTCTCGTGAGCAGTATGACGTGGTGGATTTCACGGAGGAGCGGAGATTGTTCGCGTCGTTGCGTGTTTTGACGGGGGGCGCTCCGACGGCCGGTGCGGGCGAGGCCACCGCCAGCTGTCTGTAAATATCAGAGGAGCTGCGCCCGTGGACCAGTCTGCTGCTGGTGTCGTCCCTCAGCGAGTGGCCGAGGAAAGGGTTATCCGAGCCATGGGTCGGGTACAGGGACTTGCTCCTCTTGCTCTCCTCCAGGTTGTGGTTGAACAGCATCGATTTGGACCCGGTGCCAAACAGTCTGCCGGAGTAGGGGCGCATGCCGAAGAGGTTTGCGTAGTGCGAGTCGGATGCGGAGTCCAAGAAGCGATCCTTCTCCTTGAGGCTGACGCTGCGCGCCGGTCGCCCCAGGTCCATTTCCTTGGGCTTCTCTACCATGATGTTGTCGAAGGAGTGCTGACGGCTCAGCCTCAGGCGGTTTCTTTTCTGCACGTGCGGCCCGTCCGTCTGTGGCCAATACAGGCCAAACATCTCGTCCGGTTGGTGCTGCTGTTGGTGCTGTTGGTGGTGCATGGTGGGGCTGACCAAGGTGTCTGCGAGCAGCTGGTCCTCACTAATGTCATACAGGTTTGCCGTGTGGAGGCACGCTTCGCACCGGTTGTAGGGTGAGCGCGTGGCAGACGCTGCGGCGGGTACGGCGGGCGTGTACGCCCCCCCCGGCGGGTAGCTGGCGGACACTTTGGACAAGCAAGAGCGGCAGTGTGTCTGTTTGTAGCGCTCCATGGATTCGTGCGGGGACATGGCAATGTTTTTCTCTTTCAGGCTGTAGTGTTTGGAGTAAGTCGGGTCCGGCAGGAGGTCGGAGTCGGGGTGGTGCAGAGGCGAGGAGTTCAGGTGAATGATGGGCTGCTCGCACTTCCGGTAGTTGTCACTGTGGTCGGAGTAGATCTCGGGATAATCCAAATCGTCTGCGGCCAGGCCGCGGCTCTCGCGGTAGTGGGCGGGGTCTGAGTGCAGGCTCAGCTCCCGGTCAGAGTCGATGGTGAATATCTTCTCTCCTCCTCCTCCTCTCCCGCTCTGGTTGGTTCCGCCGATGACCTGCTTAGTCTTTAAGTAGGACAGCTCTACATCACTGCAGTCCCTTGGGTATTTTGTCGGAACGGATCTTTTTTTTAAGTTGTCCTTGGGTTTCAGGTGCTTGTTATTTTCAGGGTCCTTGTAGGAGGCCGCCCTGCTGGAACAGTCGGAGATGTCGGAGTGGGCCGCGTCCTCGGGGAGGTAGCGCTGCGTCTTCATCGACATCCTGGGGTCCGGCATCAGCATGTCGGGCATCGGAGGGGGCCCGGGAGGCGCCGAACGAAGCGTGTCCACCGACTTCTTCCACAGGGTCCGGGGCGGCTTGGCGTTGGTTTGGACCGCCTCTGCGCTTACTGCCACCTCGACTGTGTTGGGATTGGCGTCATTTAGGGTCAGGGGATGCTGGCCTCCTTGGAAGATGTAGTTGTTCAGGTGGTCTTTGTGGCGGTTGGCCAGATAAGACTGCAGGTCGCCAGTGTCCCCATAGATCATGTCTTTGGGAGCGTAGCTTCGGTTGTCAGCATAGATGAAGTTTCCCTTCTCTGCCATCATGTCCATAATCATGGGACCAGCCGAGTGCATGAATTCACGTTTGGGTGAATTCATGTGGGAGCCACCCAGGGTTGACATGTTTGTCATCTGTTTGGCTGATTTAATGAGCTTCAGCATTTTGTCCTGCGGGCTAAAGTCCAAATCTGACTTCTTCTTCATGTCAATGTGGACTCCGTGGATGCAACTCCAGATACCCTGCATGAGGACACGAGGGTAAACAAGGTGGAACGGAAGGAGGGGGGGGAGACAAAAAAGGAGAGGGATGGAGGGAGATGGAACGGCAGAATCAAACATGAAGAAGGGTTGAGAAAAAAGAAGAGAGAAAACAATAATTATTGCTTATCTATTTGGAAGAAACACTTTTCATGTTGACGAAATTGGTAATAATTAAGCAAACCACGTTACATTTGACCAACTCTTAACAACTTGAACAGAAACGTAATACATTTCTAAATTAGATCTTTCATCTTCTCTGAAAGATCCTTTGTAAATTGTCATAAACTGTCATGAAGTAAATATGGGAATTAGCTTTGTTTAGAATATAAATCATGGAGGAGATGACCAAGTCAGAGAGCACACGACATCCTAAAGAAGATCAAATCAAGAATTATTCATAAATATACCAAAACAGCTATAATGTTTTTCATAAAATAATCCAACCAGGTCAAATGCAGCCTCGAGCAACAGGAAACAGACGAAATGTGATGCGATGCAATGAGACAAGACTTTCTGCAGCTCCGCTCATTTAACAGTACAACTGCTGGCGCAAGTATAGCATCATCTGAGAATACACTAGAACGCATCCTAACAAATAACCCGAGCCAACAATAACCTGAGAAAAGTAAAACTAGAGCTGCCAATACGAGTCATGCATAAGAGTGATGTCATAGAGCACTCCTCCTAAAGCTAAAAGAACAAAGCACTTTTTTTTTCCTCCCCGAGACCGTTTCCCAGCTAACAAATGCATTTCTCACGTTGACAAATGCAAAGTGTTTCTTTGGCCCAGCGCACGTACTGTGAAGCTTATCGACACAAAGCAGCCCATCAAGGACGCATTCCGCCCCTTAATTCCCTCCCCAGATTGCCTTTGAAACGGCATCATTCTCAAAGTTTTCTCCCCCCTCGGTTAACTTTGAAACCTTTGAGTCACACTTTGCCTCCACGATAGCGCGGAGACACTGCGGCGCGTTTGAGGATGCGCGCCCACGTCTTCCGCCCTCACCTCCGGGCGAGGGAGAATGCTGACCTTTCAGAACGGACCGCGCGGCAGAATGGATTGATTCAACGCAGGTTGCCAGGATTTCACCCAAAGACACGTCGCAATTAGGATCAACTTTGGCCGATGTTCCGCGCTTCATGGCGACCGGCCCTCCTCAGCACAGCCCCTCCCCCTTCTGTTTCGCTCGCTTAGCAGTACTAGCGTACCGCTCTGGATACTGCAGCATTAGGCCCCATTGCAGATGCCGTGCTTCTTTAGGCCGTGTTGGCTGGAATGTATAAAAACGTTGACCCACATTGGCCATTAGGTGACGGCATGTGAATTCTACTCACGGCCTGTTTCGGGGAATTAACTATTGGATAAAAGATAAAATCTTAATTCTGTCTAAAGATGAGGCGGGTTTTTGCTGCCAGTTAGATCCAATTAGTTCAAGTTAATTATTTTAATAGTCGAATAGTTGAAAATTCTCACATGAACTATTCAAAGTCAATATTCCACGTGTTTCTTACAGGCGTTCCTGAGCTGCACGTGAGGACCTCGACCTTTGAACGTGCAAGTGCGTCCAACTCCATCAGTGCGTTCCTGAGATGGACGTGCACCTGGTCCAATATCAGCCACGGCTCTTCGTACAGATATCACAGCACCGACACACACACACACACACACACACACACACACACCGGTCCTTACCCGACTAATGGAGAACAGGAGGCCCGGCGTGCCGGTGCAGACCCCAGTGAAGCAGTATCTGAGCCTCCAGTAGAAGAGGTGCTCGGAGACAAAGGTGATGAGGGACAGCCCCATGGCCGTGGCCAGCATGTAGAAGACACCGGCCATGTTGTCCACATCCAGCTGACTGGACATCACCTCGTTCTTCTCGTTGTGGCAGATTCCCGTCAGCCACTGGGCTTCGAGTTCCTCCATTTCGCCTGAAGAGCAGAAGGGACAGAGAGACCCGAATCCTCCATTGAACCAACAAATTAAAAGGGCAAGACACAAGTTTACATCTTCATACCAGAATGTATGAGACACGCAATGTGTCATGTGGTTTTCGTTTTATTGAAAATCAAATAAATTTATAATTTCCTAATGTATCTGCATTCAAAATAGTGCGATCTAAAGATGTGATTGTGGTAAATAACGTGTGCTTTTCTGTATCCGTCACCAGCCGCCGGGCTCCATTTCCCCCGAGAGATCCTTTCCTCGTTGGTAATGAAAGAAAGGTAGAAAGTAAGAAGCCCTTATCTTTTCCCACCCCCGTCCCCCTCCTCCCTCGGTGACATTTGGCTGATCCAATCTGTGTCCGTCAGGGCCGGGTAACTACGGCTGCTAGCGGGGAAAGACAAATCTCACGGCGGTGTTCAGCTACGTGTCCTCAGGGCGCCGGCTCACTGAGACATCATTAAACCTTTTTTTTTTGGAGGAGAATTCATCTTCCGGTGAGATTCACAAATAAATAAATAAATAAATAAATGAATAAATGTGGCCACGGCACCGACTTTTTAACGAGACATCATGGAATGCTTGGAATCCACCACAAAAGAATGTGAAAATAAACGAGACAATTAGATACAAAGCGCGTCTTCGTTTAACGGAGAGCTTTGGGGGAGCGGAGACCGTCCGCGATTAGAAGTGCTCCTCTTTGCAGCAGCCACGCATCTTAAAGGGGGGGCAGTTAACCCAGAACACGGGAAACAAGTCTCTGTTTCCTCCTCAATTCCAGAGCTATGAGAAGCATTTCAGGTCGAGGTTCCTGCTGCTGGGGGGAGAAAACACTCCTCCATCACTATCCACCACAAGCATGAAGCTTGGGGTCAAGAAGACACGCGTGACAGATGCCGGCGTGTTTCCTCCCCGGGCGGTTTTGTTTGCTTCCGTTTTTTTTCTGTCCGGGAGGAGCCGAACGATCTCCACCCACATTGTGTTTAAACTGAGGAAGCCCCTTCTGCCCCGGACGCAGAGTCGCTGTCATCCATCAAGGATCCGCCCTCCCCCCCCCATTTTTTTTTTTTTTTCTTTTTACCCGACGGCCCGTCTCCCTTCTTTTTCCTCTCTATCTTTCTCCTTGACCTCTCATTGATTCCTCCCTCCTTTCCCTTTAACACGCATTTAACCTTCTTTAATTTGTTTTACAACAACGCGGATGAAGAGATTGAATGGGATTAATAAACCCCCCCCCCCCCCTCACTGAACCAGATGTTTATCCTACACCTATAACACGGCAGCGTGGCCCTGATACGATTTGGTGAGAGAGGATTATTGTCACACCAATGTTCATTTAATCAACTTCATGTGAGCACGACGGAGACACATCGGTCAGCGAGCCGCCGCCGTCCTCGTCCGCTCTGCAGTGGGAACTTGTTTACATGAGAACTTCTGAAGCTACTGTAATAAAGGAGTTTATTTACACACACACACACACACACACACACACGTGGTGCTGCAGAGGGGAATACATTAGAATAACCTCGGTTTGGAGCAGCCTTTTTGTGTCCAGAATAACATCAAAAGGACTATTTATACCTCGCTGCTTTCCCTTTGTGCTGTCACCAGACAAGGCAGTACAGATGTGTGTGTGTGTGTGTGCGTGCGTGTGTAACCTTTTGGCTTCCCGGACAGTTTGCATTGTGCGTGCTTCTCACCGTCCCCGATGATGGCCAGGATGGCCAGGTCCACCTGTCGCTTCCAGTACGAGCCCTTCTGCAGAGCGATGCCGTACCCGGTGGTGGCGAAGATGTACCTGAGCGCCGTCAACGTCCGGACGCACACAAACACACACGCACACAGAAAACACACATTTTAACCTTTGAACCGATCACTTCCGGATGCTGCGATTCAGGGTATCTTGGAGGAGATACCTCGATTCAACGCGGTGGGAAGATTACGCCCACGGAATGAAAAGCACCGCGTCCAAATGTGTTTGATGCCCGAAGACAAGCGGCCCCACAGTCTGACATCAGACGGGTGGCGTTTTCGTTGGATCGGGCCTCAGATCTTTTGGCAAATACGGCCACATATGTACATCGGAACACTGTTGGCCGCTTTGATCATCCCGCCGCTCCACCCTGGCCTTGAAGAGGTCCCTTCTTAAGGCAATTTTAGTGCTCAATCGCTTTAAAAAAAACAGATCTCTTTGCAGTGTGGAGCGGAGGAACAACCGCCAAAGACCAACAATAATTCAAATGGACGTATGGGAATGCGAGGACTTAAATAAGCTCCTTTTCCTTTGATTACCGTCATACAACATTTACAGATGCTGCACAGTGTCACGCAGTCAGGTGGCGCCACACAACGGCACCTGAGACAGAGAGACAGCTCCTCAAGAGACAGTCCCACAGGTGAGACGCCCGATTGGTTGACTCATTCTGGTCTTTTTTGGAGCTGTGTTGTTACCTTCGGGCGGCGGCGGCGGCGGCGGCTAGCTCTCTGTGCTGAGCTAAGTTAGCCAGCAGCTGGAGGTAGCTTCATACTTACTTTACAGACACGAAAGGTGGTCAATCTTCATCATCTAACTCGCAGCGAGAAAGCCTTTCCTTTTTACGTGCGATACCACTGTAACAATCCACGCAGCGGCGCGTTTACAGGCGCTACGACCACAAACAAACCCGGCGCAGGACTCTACGCGGTGGTTTTGGACAGAAGGATGGCCGGAATCGGATCATGACGTGAGGACAATCCACAGTGAAAGTGTCTTTTTAAAGAACTGAAGCTTTGGTTTACCCGCTGCCAATGGTCACCAGCTTACATCCCTCGTCCCTGCCGGCGGCGTAATTCAACACCGCGGCGTCGTAGATGAAGGCGTCCAGCTTCCTGCAACGGACGAGAAAAAAAGAACAGAGGAAAGAGACAGAAGAAAACAGACAGAGGGATGAAGACGCGGGACGGGTTTCAGTTTATTTCTTCTGGCAGAGAAGAGCAACACAAAGCAGAGGACGGCTCCTTCTCCGGGTTCTAAAGGGTCGAATCGCCGCCGACCCGACGCGCCGCCGGCGCAGCGGGTCGAAGGTCCCGCAGGCGTCGCACCGATCGTAGGAGCCCACAGGCAGCCGGACGGGCTCAAGAACCTTTTACACTCCTTTTCTCTCTCACACACACACACACACACACACACACACACGCACACGCTCACTCATGTTTAAGGTGTCGGCGAAACGAAAAGAGTCCAGACTGACATTTTCAATGTAACTGATGCCGTCACCAACCGCTGCTCTGTGTCTCGCTCTCGGTGCCGGCTCTCACACACACACACACACACACACACACACACACACACACACACACACAGAGAGGCCTGCTAATAGCGCAGTGACTGGCTGGCATTTACTGAATGTCAGATCCAGCCCTCTGACGGAGGCTCACAGCCGATAGTTCACTGTGTAATTAGCTTAACGCAGCACACGCAGGCCGTGTGTCCAAACATGCTGTGTGTGTGTGTGTGTGTGTGTGTGCGTGTGTGTCGGTAGACGCGAGGCGGACGTTGCTCGGCTCTAATGGTTGAATGGAGCAGCGCCGGTTTTCATCCCTCTACACCTTTCGGAATGTAGTCTTTTAAAAAGTAAAAATACTCAAATACAACACTCTCTCTCTTCTTTTAGGCCGCTTTTTTCGGTAAAATTCGGCATTCACACAACATTTTTCAGAACCCTAAACGCTCACCGAAGGAGTGACAGCGAGATCCTCCTTGTGGCAGTGGCAAGTGGGTGGCATTAAACTTGAGAGCCCCACCCCCTACACGGAACCCGCCGGTCCAAACCTAAAATTAGCCTCTGTAATAAGAAGACGGGGGCTCACGTGTCTCAAATAAAATAAAATAAAATAAAATATTTACAGCAGCTGACCTGTCGTACAAATAACAGTTGTTTCTGGGAAAAATTGGCTCCTCCCACCCAGCGTGCCGTTGTGACGCCGACTGATTTACTGGCGATTGCCGCTGCCTGCCACAAAGTTGCCACCCACTTGCCACTGCCACAAGGAGGATCTCGGCCCTACTGCACCAAAGAGAGAAAACGCCAGCATCAGGACCCCCCCCCCCCGCTGTGAATGCATTCATACTAATTCACCCATCGGACATCGTAAACTTCGCTTGTACTGCGAGTCAATTAGATCCCTGAATCCAATCATCGACCGGCTGTAACAGGTCGTCAGCGTTATGTGTGATCAGCGCTAATCCAGCCGCCGAGCCTCAAACAGCCGAGCGCGGCTGCTAATTCCACACCACAGAATCATCGATGAGGGCGTTGGACGCTGCGCACACCTCACCGTGTGTTTACCCGCCGTGCGCTAATACAACAGCGCCGTGAGCATCACAGCTTTCACCAGTGTACCTGTGACTTACGGATGAGAGAGAATGAGCCGAAAGACACACCAGCATGAAGTCACGCACCGCGAGTCCTCGTGCTCTCTTCCCTTCCTCTCGCCGCCGGGCCTTCAAGCTGAGAGCTCCGATTGGATCCCACCCGGCGGCGATCAACCAATCAGAAAACAACTCCTGGTCGCGTCGGCTCATCAACCCCCGTCCCCCGTCTCCCCGTCTCCCCCCTGGATTTTCCCCTCCTTTCCTTCCTCCGTCACCTTTCCTCTTTCATCCCATTACCGCTTCCCTTCCTGCTTTCCACACTTCCTCCAATCAGGCGTTTTGTCCTCGGCCTCTTCCCTCACCTCTCGTTGCCGTGTGCTGATGAGATGAGAGTCGAGCCCTCACTTTCTTTTACCTCCACCCTCCTGTCCTCCGTTTCCATCTGTCCTCGGGGGAAAAGCTCCCCGGGGTCCTTTCTCACACGGATGCGTTGTGGAAGTATGTGGATGGCAAAAGATTCAGAGCACGAAAAAACAAATTCTCAGCGCTACTCAGCCCGCAAGTCAACGTTTGAGAGAGCACAGGCACAGATTTGTGAGAGCCGAATCGGATTTCACAGTGCGACCGGCGGCATTTGCTCCGTTTTTGGCAGCTTCTGACCACTTTAGATCGCAAGAGGCCGCTTGCCAAGCCTTTCAGATGCATGAGCTCCGACATTGAGAAGTTTATGTATTTATTTTATTTGGTCTGCATGAAAAAAATTCCAATTATGGGGAGCAAAGATGTATAAAACATAACATCGTTTTTAACCTCGTTTTTTAAAATGTTTCAAAGAAAAACACAAATATATGATGGAAATAAAAGATATATAGTAAAATGCTGTCTAGCTAATTTAATTACTTAGTGTCTAGAACTGATAAATTGAATGACATTTTCCTTTAATTTAAAGGTAAGGCACAAATCGTATCCTGCTCTCACGGATCTGACCTCGTGCGCTTTTGCAAAGCTCGACTTGCAGACTAAGTAGCGCTCAAATTTGTTTTGTGCTCTCTCAAATTTGTTTGCCATCGATATTCTTCCACAACACACGCCGCCGCCGCTTCCGCTGTGGGGACCAGTTCTACAAATAGCTCCCGCTGTTCCCAGTGAGAGATCCCATTCACCCCCAGTCCCAGGGGAGCCGCCACACACACACACACACACAGGGAACTACACACAGAGCGATCTGTAGATGACACACACACACTTGTGAGGTTGACGGGTGAACATTTTGCATCAGTGAAATAGTGTTGGATCACACCCCGATTCCTTACCCCGTTTTGAGGCTGACAAGCGCGTCGGTGACTCCGGTTTGGTGATATTTTACCATGTACTGGTGCATAGCGGGGTAGTTCTTCCTGATGTTCCTCTCCGTGGACCCGTTTGGAACCGTCCCGAAGCGGAACGGGGGCGAGTATGCGTACGGGTTCTGAAACTGTACAAGGGACGAGACGCATTTCAAGAGTTTGTTTGAACAGCAGAGCTTTAACTGTGTGTGTGTGTGTGTGTGTGTGTGTGTGTGTGTGTGTGTGTGTGTGTTGCCTGGTTCATTCCAGTTGTAGATTCCACCGTTAAAAAATAAGTGGCAACTTAGCAAAATATTCTTTTAACTGTCCAATTTAAGTCAATCAAAGTGTTGAATTTGATTTGAGTTGAAATTAAATTGAGAAATATTGCAGCATAGTCTTGTTACCTCTATTGGAATCTTACTTCCAAACCCCCCATATTGCTATTTTTACTTTTTAATCTGGATTAATCATACTTATATTCCACCGTTGTCTTTCTTGCTTCCCTTTCTGTGTCGGTCCTTCGTTGGTCGGTTACATTACTTACTTGAGACCACGTACCAGATTAAGCACGACATTGCCGACTTTCCTTCTTCTCTCTCTCTCTCTCTCTCTCCTCCCCCCTCCAGCGCCCTCCTCCGCGCCGGGGCTTGCAGGTGTAATCTCCTCGGTGAACAGGTCAACGGGTTTCGTCGCTCCGGTGACAACCGACCCTCAAGAATAGCTGCGACTATCTGCCCTCATGGCCAGAAACACGCCGATCCTTTCAATTACGTCCACTTATAACGGTGTGTGTCTGCACCCCCCCCCCCACACCCCCCCATAATGTCAGACAGCTGAAATAATAATAATTAAATCTCATTTATCTACTTGTCGGTGCACGAAGGTTCATGTCAGCGTGCGATTAGCTTTGTGTGTCTGTTCAAACATCTGTAAAAACAAACAGAAACATCTGCGCTTTCGATGGTTGAGTTGCTAATGTGAACTAGTTTCACGGCACATATCTACATACATACATATCTAAATATTCATGCATGCTGCATCTGCCCGCACACACGTGTGTCCCTGCTGTGTAATCAGGTCAGCGCGCGTTGATGAGCGCGCTGTGCGTGTTGGTGGTGATGTCAGCGTCACGAGGAGGCCTCGCGAGGGGGGGGGGGGGATAAAGTGGAGATGAAAGTTCCTCGTGTCGTGTTGTTGTGTGTTTTTACCTCAGCTCATCCGGACTGACCCTCTTTTGTTGCCCCTCCTTCGTCCTGTTCTTCCCCCTCGCTCTCTTTTTAAAATCTGATCCTTTCAAAACGTGTCAGTTAAAACTTCTCGGAACTTCTGCTCTCGTTCCGTCGCCGACAATTCCACTGAATTCACACCCTTAAATCTTCTTCCTTCTGAAATGAAACACGTGGCCAGTTCACACAACCGGTTTCCGTTGGACGGCGATGATTTGGTCGGCCGTTAATTGCATTGTTGGTGTGTTGGCGAACTCGCCCAGTGAGCGGCGTTGAGACTTAAGATTGTGGGACGTTATGTTTGTCGTTGGAAGAGCCGAAGCCAATCAAAGCCTCCCCCCCCCCAACGGGACGGCCATGTTGCTCCTCTAACGAGGCCGCTGTTACGCAACGCCTCGACGATGAGTCATCGGTTAGCGCCGTGGTCCGTTTGCCTCCTTGCTGCCCCCTGGTGGCCAATTCTAATTCTAATTCTGCCTGGTTTTCGTTGGTCACATGTCGGCTCAGCGTCCGTCTGGACGGCCGCTTAACCTTTTTGTCTGGTTTCTTTCTTCTCTGACACTCTCTGTCTTCCCATCACCCCCCCCCCCCCCTCGCCTTCCGCCCCCCCCCCCCCCCCCCTTCACCCCATTCATTCCTTTCTCCCTCCCTCAGCCGTCAACTTGGCCCATATCTGTCCGCCTGGTGTCTTCTACCATCTTGTGCGTATTGGCCTCTCGGCTCTCGCTGTGCTTCAGTCTCCCCTCCTGCCAGTTGCTGCACCCCTTACCCCCCCCCCCCCCCCCCCTCCCACCCTCCACCTCCCCCTCTCTAGCCTCTACGTCGGTCTGGAGGCATCTCCCCCCTCTCTCCTCGGGAGCTCTGCACCCTCCTTCGGCCTGTCCTCCTGACCTGCAGGGCCAACTTCCCCCTCTTATCTCTCCTCGCCTTATTGCCGTGTTCTTACATTGGATTGTGTGTTATAGCAGCAATGCACAATGAAATATATTAATGGAAGACATTTTGATTAATTGTCTAACTGTTTTACAAATAAAAGCCCACGCTGAATTAGCAGAACACGAGCGCTTGTTGCGGGATGGAATTTAGCGCAGCAGGATCGTAACGTCACACCGAGGGTCGGCGTTTATTCTTTATACTGCACATTAACGTCGACTAAAGGAGGTGAACTTCCCATTATTCTGCACTTCCTGGTATCTAAAACACACCCTAGCAAGTTATTAGAGTAAAAATAATTACATCCGTTACTACAGAACGCGAGGATCGATGAAGGCGGCGTAGAAACGGCGTATCAAGGAGCAAAGCCCCTCTCCGTTTTCTACCAAACAGCGGGATGAAATGGATGTTTTCCGTCCTTCACCTTGTTGTCGGAGAGCCCGGTGACCTGGTCGACAAACTCCTCCTGGATCATGAAGGCGGCCAGGTTGGCGGTGTAGGAGGCCAGGAAGATGACGGCGAAGAAGGCCCACACGGACACGATGAACTTGCTGGTGGTCCCTTTGGGGTTCTGCACTGGCACAGAGTTGTTGAAGACCAGACCCCACAGCAGCCAGACGGCCTTGCCCATGGTGAAGGACGGGCCATGGGGGTCTGAAAGAGAGGACGGGGTGGAGCCGGATGGTTCAGGGGACGAGGGGGGGGGGCGAGGACGCCGCCGCCGGGCACGAGGGCCTGGTCATGTGTGCGCGTGTGCGTTCACATGCTCACCTCGTCCTTGTGCCAGGTTTCTGTTGAAGCCAAGAGGACTGATGTACTCAAACATGAAGACAGCCATTGCAGTGACCAGTAGGAGCATCACAAACATCATCACCCATACTGACGCACTGAATGGCTCTGAGGGAGACAGACAGAGACAGACAGAGAGACAGAGAGAGGGACAAAAAGAAGACCCCGTTTTAAAATGACATTTTTACATCTTTAAGATCAGCATTTTTTTTTCTCATTTTCCGTCTTTCCTCGTGCACAAACACACGTCGCGGAAAGAGCTTCGTGGCTAACAAGCTGGCTGCTGCATGCGCCCCCAACACACACACACACACACACACGCACACGCCTCCTGTTTGACAGTGTGAGGAGGCGCGCAGAATGCTAAGCTCTGGTGTCAGCACTCCTGTCCTCCTTCTGAGCTCACAACACTACCGCGGAGATTAAAGCAGCCTCTAATGCACGCGAGAGCCCTGCTGGCACAGCGCCGCGCTCTGTGTGCACCGGCCAGCGTCCATGGTGGAGGTTTCCTGCTAATTGCCCTTTTCACTGCAGTAAGTACATGTTGCACACGTGTCACACTGTGCGTGTGTGTGTGTCTGTGCCTCAGTGCTTCCATGTGCCTTTGCGTGCAGGACCTCGGCGGTCGATGCCGAGGCGCTTCGCCTCAGATGAGCGTGACCGCGGCAGGGGGACGACGACTATACGGCCGCTCAATTTAAGATTCCGCGCCCGACTCCCTCTCAGGTGGAGCCACTGTGGCAGAAAAGCGACGGGCGGAGCCGAATGCTTGCGATGGAGGAGCGAGTATTGACAGCTGCGCAACCGAGAGGAATTGTGTTGTCAGCTTTGTGTCTCGGGGAACGCACACAAACACCGTCCTGCACTCACACGGACCGAAAAAGCAAACAAGACGGATCGAGTACCCCCCCCCCCTCCCTCCTCCCCTCCCCCCTCGGTCCCCCGAGTCCCGGTTGTGTGGTGACAGTTACCGAGGAAGGCTGACGGGGACACCGTTCCATTGCTACGGGACACCATGACGCTGATCCCGGTTTCCACGAACGGGACGGAGAAATCGATGACCTCAGAACGCTCCTCATTGATCGTCAGAGATCCGACGGCCATGACGGCTTTCTTATAGACCACCTTAGGTTGGGGGGGGGAGGGACGCAGGGGTGGAAGGGAGGACAGAGGAATGGATGGATGGATGGATGGAGGAGGGTGAGTGATGAAGGAGGAAAGACAAAGAGTAAGGACGTGGGGGCCGGAATGGACGTGGGGGCCGGAATGAGGCGGAGAGGAAGTCGAAGATGATAGAAGGAAAAGAGGAAGAAGACATGTTTAATCATTGTGGCTTTCAACATGTGAACATCAGTCAACCATATCACCAACACATGATGGAGAAAGACAAGAGGGCAGTGCAATTTCCATGAGCTCATGCAATAAGGTTTACGGCCCTCGAAGGAACTCTGGGACCTCAAGTTAAAGCAGCTAACTGAAACCACGGAGAAGCTAACATTACTTTATGCTCCCGGCGACGTTAATCCACGTTAAACATGCACACACGGATAACTTTGCACCTCCGACATGAACATTGTTACTAAATTGGGCGAGTTTGGTTCCTCTTACCTCTCCCACCATCCCATTCCAGACATTGTTGATCTTCTTGCCATGCTTGCCATTGGTTACCAGGTACAGGTCATAGGTGAACTTTACATACTTGGCAATCTTCTTCAGAATGTCGATGCAGAAGCCTTTGCAGCACTTCTTGATGTACGTCCCACCAGCCTCAGTCGTGTTGCTGGAAGAAGCAAAGACACGGAAGAAAAGCACACGCGGTCAGCCGCGGGTTTCACCTGCTTGGGAATCGGTTGGGAAACGACAGCTTAGGGTCTGTGACACAAAACACAGAAGGTTATGTCAGCAGGCTGATCCAGGTGGAGGTTTTTCCCCTGATTTCCACTCCTGTGAATCCTGTGTGACAGGCGACAAAACGAGGACGTCTTTTTCATCTGCTGGCCTCGTTGGATTTATCCGAACGCACCAGTGAACAAACGTCGCCCCCGGGGACTCTTTCGACCTTAAATTCAGGTCGTTCTACTCAGGAAGTGACATCGGACAACTTGGAAAAAGTGTGCTTTCCCCCTCCCTCTCCGTCCCCCTCCGTCCCCCTCCGTCCCACCGGAGGAGGTTTATGACGGCATTGCATCTGCAAGCCTCGTACCATCTGTGCCCACGAATGTGAGAGCGTCGACCCTTCATCCGGCCACCTGGGACGCTCATTTAACTTTGAGATGTGTGCTAATTAGGAGAAGACAACCTCGTCCTTTAGTTCAACGACGACCTGGACGCAGCCGTGATGGAAAGACACACAAACACACACACACACACACACACGTCCGTTTCCTTCAGAGCTGAAAGCCTCTGTGGTGTTTAACGGGAGGCGTTTCTTTACTCCTGTGTGACTGGAGACGAAGCCACAGGTTGTGGAAGCACGAGAGACAAAGAGACACAGCGTTCATTGGGAAAATGTTTTTTTGCATATCGTCTAGAGCAGCTGTTGGAGCTCAAATGAAACGAAGACACTAATTTACATCTAAGCCCCTTGAAACGTGCCATGTGCTCACCAATCCAGGGTGTCTGGCTATTGTTTTTTTCGTCCCCTTTTCAAAACTTTCCCTCCCATTAAAGGCCTCGTGACTTCCAATTCACTGCAAAGAAGCAGCGGTGGAACCCGTCCAGGAGGACAGAGCAGAGTGGGACTCGGATGGGAGAGCGTCCCGAGTCCAAATGACACGGTGGTTCGAAACGCATCTTTAAGGCAACATGTCGTGTGTGTACACCGACGCTGGAAGGATCTGTGATGGCAATGACACGAGGAGGACGGAGACGAGAGGTTCAGCTGGTGGAGGCTTTGAGCTGTAAGAGCTGCATCCATGAACACGGCCGTCCGACAGAGAGACCGCGTGACGTTAGTGAGGCTGTTTGTGAAGTTGCCGGGCCGACGTGATGTAGAAACGCCACGGGGCCCCCCGGGGGGGACGGGGGGGGGGGGGGGGGTGGGGGGAAGGGGGGGCGGTCCGGGTATGTGTGTTTAGTGCGAGTGTGCCTTGTTCTCAGGCCTAGCCTGGATGAGTGAATCTGTGGTTCTGCATGCATGGATGGGCCTCCACCCCCCTCCCCCCCCCATCCGACCCCGCCACGACTCCTCTCACTCTGCCTCCCTCCCTCCTCCCTTCCTCCCCTCCATCACTCCATCTTACCCTCTTCCTCCAAATGGACGCCATGGATGCTTGGGAGGGAATTGCGCTGTGGGAGGGAGGAAGGAGCCCGGGCGCATTGGCCTGTGAGTGAGTGGACATGTGGCAGCAGAAAGTGTATGTGAACTTGTGCGTGTTTGTGTGTTTGTGTGTTCTTCCTTGGAGATGCTTTACCCTCCGCCCTACTACACAGTCCTTCTAGATGAGAATCTCCGTTGGCTTCTTCCCTGGAACCCTATTACCGCCTAATCAGCTCGGTTTGTGTGTGTGTGTGTGTGTGCGTGCTTGACTAGTAGTTAGTCAGTAACTTTGTTGGCATACATGTATGCAGTGGTAAGACTGTGTGTGTGTGTGTGTGTGTTCCAGTAGAGAGAAATCATATTAAATGATCTACAAACCAATTACATGGTTTGATTTAGCAGCGTTGAAGCCACTCAGTGACACACACACACACACACACACACACACACACACACACAACGCCTGAAGCCACTCTCACTGTGTGCGTATACAGGAACATATTACAGCGAGGGGTCGGCGCCGTTTGGGCATTAGAGAGAAAATTGGTGGGGAAGGAAGTGAATCGCTGAGTTCAGCAGTCGTCTTCGGGTGGGAGGAGAGGAGCTGCCGCATAGATCGCACACTGCACCTCTTCCCAAAGGGGGAGGGGGGTGGGGGGGGGTGATGTCATCCTCGCCGCCTACTGTCGCCTAAATATCTCTGGAATGTTTGAAATGGACAGCTGTCGGACGAGCGCGGCGGAGGTTGCGGCGTGACGACTGGACGGCCGATCTATCTGTCGCACTATCGCCATGGTTGAAAAGACGCACTCCCGTGTCCCCCCCCCCCCCTCGTGTCCGACCTTTGAGCGACCTCTCGGGGGGGGGGCAGACTTACTCTTTGATGTGCTTCCTGCAGGGCACCGAGTTCCTCATGCAGGTGCCCGTGAGCCTCTCCACGTCCTCCACGATGACAAAGGGCTTCTCCTCCAGCGTGACGATGGACAGGTGGTTGTCGTCCATCTCGGCGTCGCCGTCGGAGTTGAAGCGCGGCCACACCGGGTACTTCAGGGTCAGGCTGCGGTTGTCCAGTTTTCCCATCTGGTGGGAGGGAGGGACGGGGGCGAGAGAGGTGAGGGCAAATGAGTCAAACTGGAATGGATGGTTGAATCACTTGGGAACTATCGCGTTGGGGATCTGCGCAGGCTGGACTCGGTGCCTCGAGCTGCTCGGCGGGTGCGAGTCGCCCTCCGGTCAGATGGTTGAAAGCAGACAGGGAGTGGAGGTGGAACCCGTCGGTGACCAGAGGAATGCAGTGTTTTACCTTTCTTTACCTGGTAGTTTCCTAACCGCTGGGATCTGTTGGCCAATTACTCAAAGCAGACAGGAAGTGGAGAGGATCACAAACGAAGACACACGTTAACATTTCCTTTTAATGCCACACACACACGCCGCTTTGGGTTTGGCACAAAAACAGACCATAATACATGACCTGACCTGGGTCAGTTAACAAACCAAAATGAACGATGTACGAATGCAAACGGGTATGAGAGAGGGAGGGTGTGGGGGGGGGGGGTTGAAAGCATTGTGTCAATAATTCACAACCTTTTTAGAACAGTGATGTCACACCTGCACCTGTGTGTGTGTGTGTGTGTGTGTGTTTCTGTAAGGTCTCCATGCATGTTTATATCTGACAGGGGAAGCTGGGGGGAGGCGAGGGGGAGGCGAGGGGGAGGCAGGCTCTGCACAGCTCTCAATTATGAATGTTCCAGGGATGGAAAAAACCTCAATTTCACTCTTTACCTTGGTTACAAAAGTCCTTCTTTCTTCTGTCTCCGCGGCGCCGCAGAGGACTTTATACCCGGCGCTCATTTAGGCGCACAACAACGTAAATGCACGTGTGTGTGTGTGTGTGTGTGTGTGTGTGTGTGTGTGTGTGTGTTTGTGGGCGAAATACAATTAAAGTAAAAAAAAAACAGTCACAATCACACAAGTAATGTAATAACGTAGCAACACTAATCGGACACCCCTTTGACCCCTGCAGTCACATCGCACACACACACACACACACACACACACACACACACCGGGCGAGCGGGGAGGAAGAAATGAAATTAGCATTTTAATTGTTTTGCTCGAGTGGTTTTTGCCCTCTGACTGGATTACAGTCTCTCCTCCGCTCCGAGTCGGTACCGCTGTCGACAGCTCACTCGGCTGTCAGCTACATCTGACGTGTGTGTGTGTCTGTGTGTGCGTGTGGGGGGGGGGGGGGGCAGTATGATGACGTGGCATGTGTGCGTTGTCTTGTGCGTCACCTTTAGTCTCCCAGAAAGGGCCACATTTGTGTATCCATCTCACACCAGCTGTGAGGGCCTCTACGCCACGCACGCACACCTGTGTGTGTCTGTGTGTGTGTGTGTGTGTGTGTGAAAGGGGTGGGGAGGTGTAGTGGGAGGTAAAAGTGAGGGGGGATGTGTGCATAATCAGCTGAGCTCCATTTCCCTCTGTTAGTATTAAAGGCAAAGTGCACATTCCATGCTGACCCTAAAACATGTTTCCCACTAGTGGCGTCTTTGGGAATAACGTCCCGTCTCAACTCATTGTGTGATCGAGTGTCAATCACTGACGGAGGCGTATGAGGACGGGGCCTAATTCGGTCGAATGGATCAATGAACTCGACGGAGGGAGAGAAAAAGTTCTCATCTGAAGACGGTTGAAAGAAGAGGGGCAGGAAAAGGAGGGGAGGGAGAAGGAGCTGACTTCAGCAGCTCCTCTGATGTCCTGTCCTCCTGCTCTCCTCCTCCCACTCCTTCTGCGTCTCTCCGTCTCTCTAATTAAAGAAAGAGGGGTTATAAATTAATGCCCAGAGAGGATAGAGGATTCTCTTTATCGACCGGCCAAGCAGCAGAGTGCTGAATCTCCCCCGCATGAAATAGCAGATATTACACACACACACACACACTCACACACTGCATAGAAAGGAGAGTGTGTGTGTGCGAGGCCAGTGGGAGGCGGTGATGATGGGGCCGGTGGGATTACTGCATCAGGGACGTCCCGTGGGGTGACGATCCTATCGCGCCATCACCTTCACCCGGAGGCGACGCCCCCCCCCCCCCCCCCCCGAGGGCCGGCTTCGTTTGGGGTTTTCTTCCCGGAGATTCCTCGTTTAATTCGTACTCGGTCTCCTCGAACGCACACTGAGCACCTTCTGCGCGCCAGTCGATGCCAGTCGCCGGGGCAAGTTGCATTCTGGGAGAGCGAGTTCCTTCTAGGCTGCAGAAACCCATTCAGTCATAAAACAGTGTTTGTCACTCCCGTCAGACCAAATTACTGTCAAGAAAATGGATTCTGCTCTCCCCCTCCTACGCGTCCTCCTTTTTTATATATAAGTACCACGTATATATTTGTATTTGAGTGTGATTGTGAGAGAGGGAGAGAGAAAGAAAACACATCCATGGATTAAGACATCTTTCCTAAAGTGAAACGCTTTTATAAAGAATAGTGACGCCTGGATCAAAAATGGAAGGTGTGTGTGTGTGTGTGTGTGTGCGTGCATGAGGATGCACTTTTAATTCCTTGCTGTGTATCTGCCCTCCGTGTTGTGATTCTCTGCTCCCTGCTGTCTGTAATCATTATTTCCCCCCTGCACGTCATCGTAGGTGCTCTTCTCCACTGCGCTGCAGCTCTGCGTGAGGAAGCTCCTCATGCAACCTGCAGCATCTCTATACTCATGGATGATTCCACGATGTTATACTTGCTATAAAAGCCCCCCATGAAGTTTGAATCTACATCCCCCCCCTTCCATCTTCTAAGAACAGGAAGTCTTCCTGTGCTCATTGAAATCCGTGTTGGACGGTTGAATATTTGACGTTTGGATTCGGATCGTGTTGAACTCTTTGGTGTGTTTTATTTGGGATGTGAGTCTTCCCTAAATTGTCTTGTGAGAAAATGCCTGCACAACTACCGGATGGATTGGAATCAAATTTGGCACAAACGTACATTAATGTCTTTTCAACAAGTCTCACAGCAAAGTGCATGAAGTTAAATATAATTATTTATAACCACCAACATGAAATGATTCATTGATTCAACCAGGACGCAGCATCCTTACAACATATTAGAGTGTTGCAGCATCTTCGTGCCATGTGAGTATTCTCTCTCTCTCTCTCTCTTCCTCATGTTCATTTGCTATCTCGGCCCATCTGTCTCCATCGCTCGTTTGTTTCACTCTCTCTCCACATTCCTCTCCTTTCCCCGTCTCCTCTTTCTGCGCCTCGAGGGGACACATTTTATATTTTTAGTGCATATCCATATTTTAGTGCTGTTACAGAATTTTTATCTCTTGATCATCACAGAAGTCTCTCCCCCTCCCTCCCCCCCTCTCTCTCTCTCTCTCTCTCTCTCGCTCTGTGTGTGTGTGTGCAGCTGATTCCTGGCGCATGGGTGGGACGGCCACACCGGAGGGAGGGAGGATGGAGAGAGAGAGAGAGAGAGAGAGAGAGAGAGAGAGAGAGCAGCTCCCAATTATGTTTCCACTCTGTGTCTCTCTCTCTTCCTGCACCGCTGTCGAGTGGCACTGATCAATTTCACAGGCGCTCTGTTTACAACAACACACTCCACCTCCCCTCAAGCGCACCAACAAAGGCTCTTCTCTGCGCGCGTGTGTGTGTGTGTGCGTGTGTGTGTGTGTGTGTGTGTCAGCATGAAGTATGAAAGATGTGCGGAGAGGAATACTGTAACTCGCACACACACACACACACACACACACAGATGTGGACTGAACAAAGACCAGAAAGGTCGGCAGTCTCTCTGAAACAGTTTCTGTCAATAACCAGAGTTAAAGAATAAACACACACACACACAAACACACACACACACACACACGGAGGAGCAGTGACCCGCAGACACCCCAATAACGGAGCCCTCAGACTTTGATTAGCTGTGATTTGAAGTGCTGTCCGAGACCACAGCAGCAATCACAGCTAAAGACGCAGCGAGAGCACAGATTATCTGCTCGGGGGGGAGGGAGGGGAGGAGGGGAGGGGGAGTGAGAGAAGGGGTGAAGGAGACAACGCAGGTGGGATGGCAGGATGTACACGAGCACACAGCTTTTCTCCTTCCACAAACCTTTCTCCTCATCCCCCCACCCCCCCCCCCTTAAAGTCCGTTACGCGTTGTGCACGTTGTGCGTCCTGCGTTAAGGAGAGCGCTGCTGGACCAGATCACCGACCAGCGCTTTGTCACTGCACTGCTTAGTGTGCAGTGTCCGAGGTGAAGGAGGCAACGTGTCAGTCAGAACAACAATAGAGATCAAACACACACTGAGGAGCTATTGGTCCATACGATGCAATATATAAGGAACTAATTATTATACCAACAAAACTCAAACCGTCAAATTCTTTTTAAAAAAAAACTAAAACAACAGATAAGAATATATAAAAGGAAGAATATGAGAAGAATTTAAGTTAGATGATAAAATGATGAGGCATCGCAAGAATAAAATTATGATTAGCAGCTTTAAAATCATCAAGAGCAGAATGTAAACAGGGTACAGCAGAACAATATATACATATATATATATACATATATATATATATATAAATATTATATAATATACGTAATTAAATAATGATTATAGGGGTTTGCTCTGTATAAAATAGGAATATAATCCCCATATTTCCAACAGCTATCCAGCGAGGAATAGATGGACACACACACACTCACACAAACACACACACACACACACACAGGTCCTCCCTTCTCCCACTCCCTTTCTTTGTAGAGAACTATGACCCCCAGCTTCGGGAACTCCTGGTACCCGTCTCCTGTGAACGACAGGTTCCTCCCTTCCCATGTGACGTTCTCCATGTCCCTGAGATACAAAGGGGGGGGGGGGGGGGGTCATAGCATGAGGAAAGGGAGAAATGAACAGTCAATTCTCCAAATAACAAACCCTATAATATGCACACAGGCTCTTTTGTATTGAGAGTTAAAGCGCGATGCTGAGGAGTAAATACGCTTCTAAAAGAGAATAGAAGTAATTGCAGCAAGTTAAAAGAAGAGAAAGCGACAATGGACAGTACGTAGAGCCACAGTGTCTCCGTGCACACACACACACACACACACACACACACTGTAATGAGTGACCCATATGGCAGGTCACATTAGCTAAGATGGAAGGCAGCGGGAAGATATTCTTGGTTCCACATTAATCACGGCCGCCCTTCCCCACTCTGTCTCCCTCACTCCTTCTGTCAGCGGCCATGTGCACGGGGGGGGGCTACGTTCTCCCTTCTTGCTCCCTTCCACCCCAAACCACCTGCAGGTGAGGCGTGTGTCCTGCCGTGTGTTAGTGGGGGCGCCGATTTAAAGCATTAACGTACAATAGACAATTACTTTGGTGAAAATAATGATCTTAATATAAATAATCCCACTGTGAATATCTGCTCCTCAGATCCGTCACACAGAGAATGCGTTTTTGCCAACAACCCTTTAA